GTATACATCTCAAACAAATACTTGGGCACGTCAACTGGAAGGGCCTGTCTAACATAAAATAACCCATGGGTTATCCCACACCACGGACCATTGTTTTATGGGATCTCACCGATCCATCTTTTCCTGTATGGCAGTTTGCGAGGGAGCTGTCCAGGCAATCCGAAGTAGTTGCCCCACTGGCGATAGTTCACACTGAGTCAGTGCATTTCTGAACGGAATCGACCCATACGGTAAAACGCAAAACACAATTGCAATATTGTGGTACTCATGTCGTGTTCTTTTTCTGCAGATCAAACTGGTCCCAATCCACCACATAAAATTCCTGAGCCAAGAACACCAACGGAACAGTTGCATCCAGTGCCTTACGCCAGGGGAGACGGAAATGCTCAACTGCCGTTTGAAGGGTGTACCGACGGACGGTCACGGATCCAATGTAGAGGTCCGATGAATGTGACAGCATCTAATCTCAATGTTGGTGCACACAGTTCCCATGGAATACCGTTCACCCCTCAACCAGTTCTTCACAGCCGGGTTGTTCAACAGCATCGCGAGTTGTTTCAAGCAATAAACCGAGCGAATCAGGAGAGATTTCAGTGCACATATTGTGGCAGGAGTTATCGTCACCAAACTTCTTTAGTGGGACACCATCGTACTTGCAAGCAGCGACTGTCAGTTGACCCGACTGATAGTGATGATGAATTGCTTAGTTGTGGGGCTTGCGGCATGGTTTTTTCGAAGGAGTCACATTTCAGAAGGCACATGCAAAAGCACGCACCATTTGGAGCTCACAAGTGTCAAGTTTGTGGCAAAGCCTATCGGTATAAATCCTCGTTGTCTGCACACATATCGAGGCACCACGCTGGGCTATCAACCGCACGTGAGGCTGTGAAGCCTACCGGCCATGGTGACGCAGCGAAGGATGGCTCACGTTGAATAGTGGAGCAAGCGCAAAGATGACTAGATCCGCGGGGCTGGTATGTAGACAAGCAATACAATTTCATTTTACTACACGCCTTCTCGATTGACACTCTGAGTCATAGGTGTGTGTGTGT